AAAGAAAAAGAAAAAAAAAGAAAGAAAAGAATAAAAAGAGGACGAGGAGGAGGAAGAAGAAGAAGAAGAAGAAGAAGAAGAAGATGAGGACGATTAGCGTAAAGTCCCGAGCGTTCCAGGTCGGAGAAAAAAAAAACAATGATGGCTGACAGTAGAAAAGATTGGCGCAACTACCGCCCTAAGTAGAAAAGATTGGCGCAAGTAGTGCCGTGTGCTGCATTTTTTTTTAATTCTTTTTGCAAAATTTGGACCATTTCTCGATTTGTGCGTGTCATCCTTGCGCCAGGGGGCATTTGCTAATCTTTTTTTCTTCTTTTTTTTTTCTTTTTTTTCTTTTTTGCTAATGTTTTCACTTCTGTGTATTGTTCCAACTTTTAAGTTCGCATATTTTTGTACACAACTGTAGCCAAGGGTAAAAAAAAAAAAAAAAAAAAAAAGGAGTAACAGCTCCTGGGTCACACTTAGGGTTTGGATTATAAGGCAACTTCTTTAGCAGTTCTGCAAACACTGTTAGGGCCCCAACCCTGCACCCTAAAACGCTATTTCAAGGGGCAAACATGCCCTTACCCCTCTCCAACGTGCCCTTACCCCTCTCCAACGACCGAGAGAGGTACCTCCCTTCAGGGAAGAGAGGTCGAAAGCTATGGTTGCAGGGGTCCCCTGTATAGCCTTAGGAGCAGTGGTAGGTAGTGAAAAGAAAGATATGTTCCATGACATGGCAAAACGCCAAGAAAGATATGTGAGGTGAGAGAAAAAATATATGGCTGTCCCCCGATGAGAAGGCAGCTTTTCTATAAAAAAAAGAGGAGGGAATAAGGGGGGAAAGAAAAAGAGACTGCATTCCCGCCACCAAAAAAAAAAAAAAAAAAAGGCCCAAAATTTCAACAGCCCCAAAACTTGCGCATTCTGAAACTCAAAGGATGACATTGGCGGCAATTTGTCTTTTCTTGCAGCCTATTTCAAACGGAAAAGGTGACTCAGGGCATACTCACACGAGCAACAAAAGACCCAAAATCCCAAAATTTGAGTCCTCTGGGACATCCCTTAAAATTGGAACGATACAGAGTAGATTAGCATGGCCCCTGCGCAAGGATGACACGCATAAATCGAGAAAAGTTTGAGTCATTTTTCGGGTCACACTGGAGAGGCTTGCTACCCAAATGCCACAAACGGTGACCCTTCTGTCAGCGGCCTGCAGGGCCCCGGGCGGACCCTTTTTGAGACCACCTCCGATGGTGGTCTCAAATTACCTTTCCTTTTTTTGTTTTTTCTATGTTCTCCAATTGAAGAGAATAGTAGACGAAGAAGACACTCTGCCAAACAACTGAAAGTGTGACCAGGAACATTTATGTTGTAGAGAAGTCCCACGCGTTATTATACTGGTGTGAAAAAAAAACTCAAAAAAAATACATCCTGTTGTTTGGTCCTCCCCGTGTGACAGGGCGCACTTGCCCTGAGTGCAAAGTGTCAGGGTCGCATCCTTTCTGGACGACGTCCACAAGGTCACACGCGGGGACCAAATGCCTCAAATTTTTGAGACTTTTGGTCCCCATGTGAGGGCATACTCACACGGGGACCTATAATCCCAAAATCCCAAAAAGAAAAGGGTAAAAGGCCGGACACACAGATCTACCAAATTCCCAAATGTACTATTCCAGTGCCCATTTGTCAGCGGCCTGGGAAGCCGCAGGGCATGGGATTTTGCGGTCACCTCTGGAGGTGACCGCAAATTCCCTTTCTTTTTTTTTGCATTTTCTTCAAAATTTGGCAAAGAATCGTTCACAAAAGTTCTTGCACAATTGGTGGAAGGGCCGATTTGAGGTTTTGGGCATGGCTCAGGTCACACTGCTGTACCTTTTCAAATGGGACAAGGTTGTGGCCGTCTGGAGAAATGGGGATTTGGTACTTGGCTGGTCACACGGCACCATCCACAAATTGTGCAAGAACTTGTGTGAACGAAGTTTTGCCAATTTTCGAAGAAAATACGAAAAATGAAATTATAGGGCATTTGCAGGCACCTCCAGAGGTGACTGCAAAATCCCTTGCCAGGTGGCTTCCCAGGCAGCTGACAAATGGGCACAGGAATAGCACATTTCCAAATTTGGGATACCCGTGTGACCGGCCTTTTCCCCTTTTTTTTGGGATTTTGGGAACATAGGTCCCCGTGTGAGTATACCTTTTTTTTGGGGGGTAACTTCGGCGGAGTCACGAAAATAGTTTGAAATTGGACTTCAGGCAATCCCGCGAACACAGCACACCCCACGGGACCCCACCTGTCCGGAAACCTAGGTTATATACATTCACCATTACCGACCCTTTTACCTCAAGTGCATTTTCAAACTCAAACCCTGACGGCGCCGTAGTTTTCTCTTTTTTTTTTGTTTTTTTAGACATCATTACATCCTGAAATGGAGGAACTCTGACAGCTGTGTTTGGCTCTCTCGCATCACACTCTCTCCCTTCCTTGGGCAATGAACGCATTTGGCCATCCATATTGTCCCTGTCCATTTTATAACTGGTGACCTTGTGACGCCCTAACCTCACGCCCAGCGCAACTTGGGATGGGGGCCCGGAAGTGCGAAAAAGGGGTGTGCCAAAGATTTTAGGAAAGTGGGGGTGGAGTCCCAGGTCGGAACTGAGATCTCCTGTGGCAAGTTTCCGGGGTATAGGCGCAAAGAGGGTGTGCACAGAAAGGAAGCTGCTGATGTCGTGCAGCATAAGGCAGATGGCATGCGTAGTCCATCTCGGGCTATAAAGATTCGGGGCACTTTTCCACGATCACAGTACCGACAGATCTAAACACTTGTGCATTCTTGAGCAAAATCCCAACAACATCACCTCTGCCAACGAACTCAATTTTCAAGCTTAAGAGAAATGGGAATTACCATCTCCTCTGGTTTCGCCTTTGTGGCTGGTCGCACGGTTTGACCAATTGTCGGCGCCCTTCGGCTTCAGTGCGGGTTCGCCGAGCGAATGCCGAGGCTTGGTAGGTCTGGTGCCGCCGACACTTTTCGCACGGTATGCGGGGCCAATAGCGGGCTATGGAATTCCACGGCACCACCGTGAGTTGGTGATATGGAAGGAGGAGGTGGAAGGGAGGGAAACTGGTAGTAATAACGATGAAACCGGGGGATATGAAATATTGCGTGTTATAAGTATCCGGGTAATCGGGGCCTTTAGGATCGTTAGTTATGGCACAGGGAAAGTCCCTCGCACACAATCAATCGCTTTCTGTCAGAGAGGGGAATTCCGGATTCCTTAAGTTCCCCCGCCGTCTGAGTTGTTCACCTTCCCAATATTCGCGGTATTCCAGGTCCCTCAGACTCTCACGATCGGACATCTAAAAGGGAAATTCCGCAACCATATCCATTTAGAAAGCTCGGTCCCCTGCATCCTTGTGCGGAATTCCAGGCTGGCTCACGCAGGCGAGCGCGTACGTAACGACTCAATTTCCTCGAGGTCGCGGTCGTACGCGAGCGTGTATGTGAGAAACAACGGGTTGGTTCAGCTCGTCGATCGCATTCAACATGCATATAGATATCCTATCCCTGCGGTGTCGGGTGAGATCCGATCATTACAAATCATACATGTGACAAAAAGGAAGAAAGAAGAGAAAGGATCGTCAACTTCTCATAACACTCTTTGAAAGTTAACGACTAAACCAAAACATCAATAATTGAGCGCTTTTAATTATATATGAGTGTGAGCAGTAGACAGAGTCGGGACAGACATCTCAAAACAAGATTGAACATCTGAAAAGATCGCTAAAAAAAAGAGGACTCACATTCAC